CAATAAAAATCTTTTTTAAAAAAACACCTTTTACTTATTTACTTTTTAAATAAATAAAATTTGAATAGGTTAATTTTAAAAAGTCCACTTTGACCTGTTCCAAAGTCAAACTAGCTCCCCTCTCCAGAAGCAACCGAGGTTGCCAAGTTTCAAGTGCGCCGTACTAGAGTTGCTCTCAGCAGCTGTATGTGCTGGGTGCTTGATGTGCACGGTCAAGTTTAATCCCCACACATCTAAGAGGTGTTCTAGGATTATCCCCCATTGTCAGATGAGAAGACTGAGGCTCAGGGCAGGGGTAACATAACTTCTTCAAGAGCACACAGCTCAGTAGCAGGGGAACCCCAACTGAGAGGTAGACAGACTTCCAGCTCTCAGTCCTTAGCCAAGAGCTTCCCTGTATAGTCATGGATGAAGAGGTTGCTAACATTTGGAGCTGAAGACCAGAGGGTATGGACGGGGGGGAAGCGGGGAGGTAAGTGGTGCAGGACAAAGCACAGATCCAGTCTTAGGAAGAGAGGCGTGCAGGGTTCTGAGGGCAGCAGTGAGCAGGCATGGGTGAGGTGCGGTGAAATCTATACCCTGTCCCTAGCCCAGGGAAGTACATGAGGCAGAGATGAATAGCTTTGGTATCTTTGATGGACCTGGAGGTGGGGCCAGGGGGCGGCGGGAAGCGGGGGAGTGTAGACTTTCAAAGGAGAGAAGGCAACAGAACGAAGAGCTTATCAGGTGGGGACTCCTGGTAGACCCAGAGGGAGCCCGAGATTCTCAGGAGGCCCCAGCACTGACCAGGAGCTAAGTCCTTATTTCTTGCCACCAAGCTTCTTCAGGAAATATCATGTCTCTCTCGCTGATTGGAACGATACCTCACTGTCAATCCTGTTCATAAATCTCTTTTTTAACCTCTGCGTGGAAAGACCAGTCCTGTTAACCCTGTATCCCTGGGGCTGTGCAATCCATGCATACAGCCAGGACTGGCATTCTCCCAAGTGAGGCTCTGGGCTGTCTGCAGGTAATGATTAGCTGTGCCATCTCCGAAAGTTCCAGGACTCTGGAGCTGTCTGCACGGCTAGCTGTGTCATCCCAGGCTCAAGGGACTCGAGCTGTCTGCACAGGAAAAGGGTGGACCAAGGAGCCCCAGAGAGACTTCCTGAAACCACCTGGCAGGTAAGCACGGTCATTCAAGGAACAGACAGATGGGATTATGCCTCGTAACAGTGCTAACCAGTCTTTAGAAGCCAGGACTATCCAGGAGAGTGACAGTCTCCAGGGAAAAGCAGTCTGCAATCCCTAGGGGCCTCTAAAGGGGGTACCTGCCAGGTCTTAGTGAGGACACAGCACTGGGCAAAAGAACAGATGTCTGCTGTGCAGCGAAAGGGAGGGACTGGGGTGGCTGGGAGAAGGGCGGCCGAGAGCTGAGTGGGGCTTAGGGGAGAAGGCCCTGCAGAGGAGGGAGAAAGAGCCAGCCATGGAAAGAGAGAGGGACCCACAGAGACAGAGGTGATAAATACCCTTGTCTCGAAGCTGGGAAGGAAAGCTTCACTTCTGCTCCGTGAGAATAGAAGAGGAGAGGAACAAAGAAGTGACAGAGACCCTAAGCAGTCTGGCCCCCTCCGCCCAGACAAGGGAGACGGGGAGTGCGGCCAACTGTTGGGACTCCTGGTTGGATTCCTTGAATTAAATTCCTTAAATTCTGGAATGCCATCAAGGTACATATGTTGGAACCCAGAGACCAGCCCACACGGCCTAGGAACCACTCTCCCTGGGGCCAACGCATAGGCGGAGCCGGTAATTCCAACAGTTATGATTTCTGTGTGTTAAGTCCCACGCGCTAGGTGCTTGGTATTCACCATGGCTCGGTCAGGGTTCATTGGAAGGAAACAGGGGCTACCGCACCAGTCAGCATTTACTACAGTAACAAACATCCGAACCTCTCAGGAGCTTGGAGCCACACGTCCTTTCCCTCACGGGTCAGAGGCTGGCGGTGGCTCTCTGTGCTGGTCTCAGCCCGACCCCGCGTTCTGGGACCCAGGCTGAAGGCAGAGCACCCATCTGAGATACACTGCGCTCATGACGGAGGGCAGGGATGCAAGGCTTCCTGACCAACCACACAATCACATCTGCTCCCATCTCACGGGCGAGCTAAGCTCAATGTCGGGTGGGTGTATCCTCTTCCCCAGGACGCACTGGGCAAGTCACCTGACAATGAGTGGCTACATCTCACTCTACCCCAGCGAGGGGCAAATTGTTGGCAATGACAGTTCGGTCCCCCCTAAATCCCTTAAGCACAAAGGGACTTAGTGCATGGAATTGGGCGTTCACAAAACCGCCAGGGGTGCTAGAAAGGTGGGTGCTAGGCTGGGGGCTCTGCTGCTGCTGGAGGAGGGCGTACCAGCAGGAAACTGAAACGGGTGCCGAGTGCCAGGTCACTCGTAGCCATCACACATTCGTTTCCAGAAAAGCCCTGGAAGGTGGGGGTGAATCTCCTTAAGCAGCTGGCGACAAGCAGAGCAGCCTAGGTGGGCAAGTCCCACCTCTGTGGCACCCTCCGTTCACAGGTCTGACCATGCAGTGGCTGCGGAAACTCCAGGGGCTTCGCATCCTCTGGGGGCCTCCAGTGTCCGGTCGTGCTGTCCACGTGCATACCAGGCACCTGGCATCTCTGCAGTGGGGCCACCAGGAAGTCCCTGCCAAGTTTAACTTCGCCAGTGATGTGCTGGATCACTGGGCCGGCATGGAGACGGTAATGGGGTAGACAAGCAGCACAGAGCTGGGCATTTTGGCTGAGTTCATTCATCCATCTGTTCGTTCAAAGTGCACTGAATACCTATTATGTGTCAGGTGCTATGAGGTGTGCACTTTTCATGGAGGCAGCATGAGGTGGGAGCAGGAGACACAGGCTTGGCAGGAAGAAAGGCCCAGGAGGCTGGGGCTGAGGGAGACATCTGGTAACCTGCCCCACCCCACCCCTGGCAGCCTGCACATACTGCACATGCTCTGTTGTGAACCCCCCCCCCAGGGTCAGGCAAGGACTAGCGGGCTGGGCTCGTAGAGGAGGTGGATTGGGTTTAATGAGAAAAAATCTGCGCCAGCTGAAGGCTGAGTCAGTCCTCTCAGAAAGTTATTGTGTCCCTGTCATTAGGGCTGAGTAAGCGGAAGAGGCTGCCAAAAGAACTCGAGCATAAGATGTCAGAGGAAGAGCGATGAGGAAATTTCTGTTTCCCAACCTGGACCTTTCGAATTCCACCCCACTCGTGGCTGACCCCTCCCCTGCCTTCCACCTGAGGTTCTGTGCCCCTCTCGGGAGGGTGGAAGGAGTCCTTTTGGCTGGGACAGGGGAAGAGTGGCTTTGCCGGCATGGCCTTAAAAGAATGGCACTCAAAGGGAGTCAGACTGTGAAGTCCTGACGTCCTGACGGCGTGGCCCAAGCTTAGTGCAGAGATTGCAAATGCTGGGCCTCTAGGCTGAACATGGCCCTCGGTGCAGGGCACGCTTAAAATAAAATTTGGTCAACGTTTCAAAATTGAAATTTTTCAGGTAAAAATTTAGATTGCTGGCTTTTCTTTCAAAGATACCTTCTTGGAATAATGAGCAAGGTCTTTATTAACACGACTCAGAATCCTGAACCCATAGAAGAAGGGATTTAATACACTGGCAACATAAACCACTCCATTGACAAGCACCATAGACAAAAACCAACCAACCAACCAACCTAGTGACAACCAGGAGGAAAATATTCAACTCATATCACAGCAAAGGAGTTAATATTCCTAACACAAAAAAGCCGCTAAATCAAGAAAAAAAAAGACACAACCCAATATAAAAGTGACAGTTCACAGAAGAGTGAACTAAAGGGGCCGTTAAATATAATAAAAAATTCTCAGGGTCTGCCGAGTGGCTCAGTTAAGAGCTCGCTCGAGAGCGTGAGCTCTGAGCAACAGCGGTTCGAGTCCAGCCCTAGCTGAGCTGCCAACAGGTGACAGGATGGCTCAGTTAAAAAAAAAATTCTCCACCTCATTCATAATACGAGTTATTATGACTGATAAAACATCACTGAAACCATGTATTTTTTTTATCTCCTAGTTTAGTTACACACAAGCATTTGACAACATCCTCTGTTGACAGGGCTAAGAGGAAATAGAAACTCTCACACATCACTCACTGGTCGAAATGCAAAATGACACAACTCCTTTTGAGAAACTTTGAAATATCTCACACAACGACCAATACGCTTTCTCTTTGACTTGGCATCATTGCCCTTGAGTTAAGATAGAAGTACCCCTGAGGATACCTGTGACTTTTCAGGGGAACCTGTGAAATCAAAACTATTTCAAAATGAAACTAAAACAAACAGGAACCATTGGGCATCACTGTCCAGCAGGCAAACTTGTACAGCTTCTGCAGAAAACAATATGGCAGTTCCTTAAAAAAATCAGAAGTAGGGCCGGCCGAGTGGCGCGATGGTTAAGAACTGGCTTGGGATGCCAGAGGGCCCCGGTTCGGATCCCACATATGAGGGCCAGTGACACTGCCCTCTACAGCTAAGATGCTGGACAACAGCTCAACCTGGAGCTGGGCTGCCATGAGTCACCGGCGACGGCATAGGCTGCAGCCCCTGTGCAGTGGGTTGCCATGGGCTACCGTGTGTAGCCAGCAGCCAGTGTGAGCTGCCGTCCAGAAGCCGGCGACTGATCTGCCTCGCCCGGGAAGAGCGCATGATGGTGCCAACTTGGGCCAGTGAAGCCACATCCTCCACAACTAGACTGAAGAACAAAAAAACAGCAACTTGTCTGTTCCTCTCCCCCCAATTCCCCAATAAAATCTTGAAAAAAAAAAACAAACATCAGAAATAGAATTACCACTTTCTTGGATATACACCCCCAGAGAACCAGAAGCATGGTCTTAAAGAGGTGTTTGTACACCCATGTTCAAAACAGGATTATTCACAATCGCCAAAAAGTAGGAACGACCCACTGTCTATGGATGGATGAGTGAATCAACAAAATGTGGTCTAGCCACACAGCGGAATATCGTTCAGCCTTTACAAAGAACGCAGTTCGGACACACGGATGAGCCTTGAGGACATCATGTGAAGTGAAATACTGTGTGATTTATAGGAGCTACCTGGAGTAGTCACATTCATAGAGAGAGTAGAACGGTGGTGCCAGGGGCTGGGGAAGGGGCAACGGGGCAGTTAGCGTGTGTGTCCTCGGGACAGAGTTTCAGTTTTGGACGATGGAAAAGTACTGGCGGTGGGTGGGGGTGATGCCTTTACAACAACGTGGACGTACTTAATGCCACTGAGCTGCACACTTAAAAATGGTTAAAGTGGTATATTTTATGCTATGTATATTTTACCACGATAACAAAGGAAAACAAAAATAAATGGATGAATGGATGGATGGATGGGTGGATGATAGGTAGGTAGGTAGACAGACAGACAGACAGACAGGTAGACATAGGTAGATCTAAGATAACATTTGTCTTTTTCATTCTTATTCTCTCCAGAGGCTACACGACAGGTGATTCTGTAACAAAGTGAGTGTGAAGAGACAGGAAGAGACTTGCAAACATGTGTTGGGTTGTCGGAAAAGTCATGACGCATTTTTTCTCTGTTTCTCCTCGCAGAAATGCGTCCTGACTTTTCCGACAACCCAATAAAACGATGCCACTCTCCTCATTAATTTTCGTTGTTTCAGAAAGTGTACTTATCCCTGTACTAAAACATATCTTACTTGTGCCACTATGCAATGGGTTTATTACTGAGGTCAAAACGCTGACTAAGCGCTGATGTGGCAATTCCACGGCTGGGACTTTCCCCCCACCCCGTGCTTGCCTACCATCCTCCCCAACACCCGCACCCCCCCGCCCCGCCCTTGCGAATCGCTAGGTCTTCTCTCTCTTCAGGCTGGCAAGCGGTCCCCAGGCCCAGCCCTCTGGTGGGTGAGCGGCGATGGGGACGAAGTGAGGTGGAACTTCAGTCAACTAAGTGAGCTCAGCCAGCAGGCGGCCAATGTCCTCTCGGGGGCGTGCAGCCTCCAGCGTGGGGACCGCGTGGCGGTGGTGCTGCCCCGAGTGCCCGAGTGGTGGCTGGTGACCCTGGGCTGCATGCGAGCAGGTTGGTAATTGACCACCCGGGCTGTCTCCCTTGTGAAGGAAACGGATGGCAGAGAAATGCAACCTTTGCTCCCCAAAGACGCCCCCTCCACACAGCATGCTGTCCCCTCCTCGTGGGGCAATGCCACCCGTCTTCCAGTTACTGAAGCAATCTCTAGAGGTGGCTAGCACGGGGTGAACAAAGCATGGCCTGTGCACTCACAGGACCTCCAGACCTTTGGAGAAAGACAGCCATTAAACTAGTAACTGCACAGGTCATTACTTAGTCACAATTTTGATAAGCGGCCTGAGAGCTTGATAAGAACCTATTAAAAATCTGGCCCAGCCTTGTTTTTGTAAACAAAGTTTTGTTGAAATGCCGTGTTAACACATTGTCTGTGGCTGCTTTTGCACTAGTATGTCAGGCTTAAATCACTGGGACAAAGAGCGTCTGACCCACAAAGCCTCCAATATTTACTGTGTGGCCCTTTGCAGACGAGCTTTGTCAGCCCTGCTAAATAAGGAGACTTGAACTGACTGATCTGAAGGGGTCAAGGACATCTCAGTGGAAGTGACATTTGGGCTGAGAGCTGAAGGATGAGTCAGGTTTGGCCAGGAAAGAGGGCAGAGAGGAGCGCTCCAAGCAGAGGGAGCAGTGGAGGGGAGCCTGGGAATGATGAAAATACCTGAAAAGACATCTGTGTGCTGGAGTCCAGGCAGCGAGGAGAAAGGAATGGCGAGTGTGCCTGGGAAGACGAGCATGGGCTAAACTGGCAGAACCTTGGGGGCCATGGGAAGGGTTCTAGACCCTTATCCAGCCGGGAATGGCAAGCCATGAATGGGCTGAGTGACAGGATCCTAGGGTGTTGGTAAAGGCCACTCTGGATGGCGGGTAGAGACGGGGATAAAAGGACAAGCGTGGGGGTGGGACTCCCAGGTAAGAGACAGGGATGATGGTGGCTTCAGCTCGGATGGGGTGACAAAGATGGAGATGAGTGGATGAGTTTAAGAGACCATTAGGAGGAACTTGCTAGCAGGGTGTTTTGATGAATGACCTGCTGGTAGAGGAAGAAAGGGGGACAGAGAAGTCGTGACAGGTGGGCAGCTGTGTGGACACCACTGTCTTTCCCTGAAGCGAGGAGCACAGGGGAAGCGGGTGTCGAGGAAAGAGGAGAAGTTTACTTCGGTAGCTGAGTTAGGGGAACCCGCTGATGTTCATGAAGGGATGAGGAGTTTCAGTTATAAGACAAACACGTCACGGGGATGTGATGGGCAGCATGATGGCTCTCGTTGACACCGCCATGTGGTGTATTGCAAAGTTGCTAAGAGATCAGGTGGAAGACGCTCTCATCACAAGAAAAAAAATCTGCAGTGACGTGTGGTGATGGGGGTTAGCTTGTGGTAGTCATTTCACACTATACACGTATGTCAAATTATTAGGTTGTGTGCCTAAACCTGGTACAATATGTCAATTATATTTTGATAAAAATATGTCTAGTGGAAAAAAAGGAGTGAGAAGTGAGGTGCTGGGTTTGAGGGCACAACATCTGAGAGGGAGGCGGCATTCGAGCATCATCAACCTTTAGATGCAAGAGTTGGGAAGTGAAGAGGTTTAAGAAGGAGTCGCAAGGAATCCACATGACCTCGCCTGGCTCACAGCCTGCCCTCCCTCACACACCGCAGATATTCTCATCAGTAAGGAGGGGGCGTAGATGTGGTCAGAAAGGGGGGGGGGTCATCAGAGGAAGTTGAGCACAATGGTAGGATCCTGGAGCCCCATGGGAAGACTGAACAGGCCATGAGAGAAAGGTGACAGACAGACAGACAGACAGACAGACAGAACGTGGTCTGAAGGGAAGGAGAACTCGGGCTCCACAGGGTCATCACGACGGCGACACATTTGTGTGGTCAGGAGCAGGTCTGCTGGGTAGGTCCTGAAGTGCTGGGGGTGGACAGAGAGAGCCAAGGGTCAAAGCTTTTCACGGGAGGAGCATGTGAAGTCAGCTTCCTAAGAGGTGAAACGTTAAGTCTCGTTATTTTCTGGAAGAATAAAACAAATCCACCCGAGTCTCATCAAGACAGAAAACAAAATCAAAGAAAAACTAAGGGCCCTCCTGTCCAAGCAAATGCACGCACTATCCCTGACTTGTGAGGAAAAGCCAGGACCAAGTTATTACGCTATTGCAGGACCATGGGCAGGCCCAAGTGCCTTTCCTTGTTAATTGAATTACTATATGAGAGGTGTTTGGACACAGGAAACTCCTAGAGCATTGTGTGTATGTGGAGGGGGGTGAGGGTGGCGTTATTGGCCTTAGGGTGTCAATGGTGTGACATCAAGCATCTCAATTTCTCTCTTTATTCTCAGAAGACCCCTCAGAGCTCTGACACCCAACTCAGGGAAATCTGCTCACATCGCTCTGCTCCGTGGTCTCCTGTAATTGACACTCCCCGTTGGTCATCCCTACCCCGACCTCCCCTCCTCCACTGGCTCCCCGTGGGCTGTTACGTTGTGGGGTTTGTTTAGGAAAAAAGCCCACAGCCTCCTTTCCAGCTCTCTCTAAGCCGTTTGACTTCTCCAGGTCTCGTCTTCATCCCCGGGACTATTCAGATGAGAGCCAAAGACATTGTCTATAGGCTGCAGGTGTCTAAGGCCAAGGCCATCGTGGCTGGGGACGAAGTGGCCCAGGAAGTGGACACCGTGGCTCCTGACTGCCCTGCTCTGCAAACAAAGCTACTCGTGTCTGATAAAAGTCGGGATGGGTGGCTGGACTTCAAGACGCTACTACGGTGAGTAGCTACAAGTCTTAACCCGGGTTTTCACCAAAAGTGGGGACTGAGCAGGCACTTTGGGTTCGGGTGCTTTATTTGGGGGGTCCGGGGAGCAGAGTAGGACTAGAAGGAGTGAAGCAGGAAAGAGGGAACAGCTAACACAAGAGGTTCCTGTGGAATCGTGTGAAGGGTAAGTGGGGCCCGGTCTGCAGGGACCTTCTGAGGAGCACACAGAGTGCCCCCCAGGGCTGCCCATTACAGAACTGGCCCATCAGCACCTGACCCCCGCAGACAGAGGACTGCCGGGGGGCAGGGCATTATCCTCCCCTCACTTCCGGGCTGCACACCCAGGCTCAGGGTCCCCAGCCATGGTGGCAGCAGAGAAGCCCTGGGGCACACAGTGACTCGCCCACAGTCCAAGTGGGTTGAAACTCGCCCAGAGCTGTTCACTGGCCGGAATCAGAGGTGAGGCCAAGGGCTTGTGAGGTAAAACACAGGAGATGGCAGCTGGACTGGGTTTCTGAGCTCCTTTTCCCACCCTGTGCATCGCCAAGCGAGGCTTCTCAGACCAGAGGACTCTGTGTATCCTTCCCACCGTCCACAGCAGCGCTGGCTGGAGGAGTGAGTCTCCCTGTCACATCTGAATCCCTCCACTAGGGAGAAGGCAAGCTTTCTCTTTCTAATGACATGGTGCTTAAGATAAGCCTCAGGGAATAGACAATGTGAGGCCAGCTTTGCGGGGCCGAAATCAGGACGCCGCAGGAGATGTCGGGAGCAGTGTGGGTAGGAGGGCCTAGCAGACGGGGTGCTGGGGAAGCGCTGGCTGAGCACCCCCTCTTCACCGGGCATCATGGCTCGGGTCCCCAACAGTTAGGGGAGCACTGACTGAGTCCTTGCTATGCAAGCTGATCAGTTCCTCTGTGTTACCGTGAACGTTCTCAGTAACTCTGTGAGACGGGACCGACGGATCCCGTGTCCCAGATGGGCATTGCCACCCAGAGAAGGTAACAGAACAGCCCAAAGTCACATAGTTCACCAAAAGCGTCACATCTGAGTGGCTTTCGAGTGCAAGTCTGCCCGACTTGGGAGCTCATGATCTTAGCCATTTCTACGCCTCCCTCCTGGAGTGGGTCCGCTGCCTGGCCCTCGCCAGCATGGGGGGAGGTGGGCAAGGCAGGTCACCAGGACATCTGGTGTCCGGGGCAGGTCTGAGCAGGTGACACTCTGTCTCTGTCAGAGGGGCATCTACCACACATCACTGTGTGGACACGGGAAGCCAGGAAGCGGCTGCCATCTACTTCACCAGTGGGAGCACCGGCTTCCCCAAGATGGCGGAACACTCCCACGCAAGCCTGGGCATGAAGGCCAAGCTGGACTCGGGGTAAGGAGACAAGACCCCCTTCCCGCTGCAGAGAACCACGTGACCAGGCCTTGCGACTTTTCTGACCTCAGATCCGGTTCTCCCGGGATGGGGTACAATCTGGTGCTTCTGAGAAAGACCGTTGGGGAGGGGAGCGAGAGGGAGCCTGGTTTGGCTTGCCGCGTATCCAGCGCCCTTCAGCGGGACATTTCTGTTTGAGATAACGTGGGCTCTCCAAACCTCTTTAGGGCTTTGGGCTATTCTCTACTAGGTTGAGTGATTAGCACAAGATTTACGGGGGTTCCCCCGCCCCCCAGGCTGATCCCTGTCTTGCCATTTGGGGTGCTGGGTAATTTGCTTTGATGTTACCCACATTCCAAAAGGGCATTTTTTTCCAGGAGCAAATTACTTTTCAAATGCATTGAAAATTCAATGAAATGAGATCCCAGATCTCAAAACCAGAATTTCCTTCTACTCTGCCTCAACCCCATTAGTGGAATCAGGAAATAGCGTGTCAGGGCTGTCATTCAACGATACAACAGGTCTTCAAGGCCTTTATCAGTGGTTCCTGCTTATCATGTTAATATTATTATATTATTGGAACTGAAAAGTATTTTAACGCCAAAAAAAATCTCAAAAACTTAAATGTCCCGCCTAGGAGCCTATGGTACCAGAAAATTAAATTATTTTACAGAAGTGACTTAATACAGGGCTAGAGTAAAATACAATTTCTAAATATGGGAAGATAAATCACTTTAATGTAACTGAGATATTAATTCCCACCCCCAACCCCCCCACCCCAAATTTGTTCTTTACAGGCTATGACCTAATTTTCTGACAGAGTTGAAAGTTTTCATCGCTGTCGGGAACGGCACATACTCGAGTGATTCCCAGCCACAAGAAAGCTCTTCGTGTCTAGCCTCAATCATTCTTGCTTTAAGACAGACCTAATACCTTTTATTCTGTCCTGGAGAGAGAAAGGAAATAAGCTTAGGCAATTGACGATGCTTCAAGAAAAGAGAACCAAAGGGCTACTCAGCCGAGCTTGAATTTAGCAAGGCTACTGGTTAGAATAATCACTTAGCTGTCTTTTGTGAGTAAATGTTTGCTGGGTGCTTACCACATGCCAAAAAGTGGACTACGTTCTGGGAACAAAATGAGAATGAGACCCAATTATCTCTTAAGTCATGTCAGCTGGGGACACACCTTCTGCATGGTCTCCCCTTCTTGAAACAAGACGGGTGCATAGAACACTTCCCTCTCCCTGCCTGTGTACTTTCACACACCCCTACAAAGGTATGCACACACACTCAGGTGCACACACACCTGTGCACACACACACCTGCTACCTGCACATACACACACACCCATGCTCCGTCCACCCCAGCGTGTGCTCACCTATGTGTACATGTGTTTCTTTTCTCAGCACATGGATGGAGCTGCAAACCTCAGATTTAGTATGGCCCATCTCAGACACCGGTTGGATAGTCAACATCTTGTGCTCACTGCTGGAACCCTGGACGGCGGGAGCGTGCACATTTATCCATCTCTTGCCAAAGTTCGACCCGCTCGTCATTCTTAAGGTAAGAGGGGACCCAGTCTGCACCAGGTGGCCGGAGTGAGGCCAAGGTGTGCACACCCCATTTTATCGCGGTTTCTTTCCACTCATCTAATTTGGACTGACACTTGCCCCGTGAGTGAACAGTGTTCACTAAGATGGAAATGGTTCCTGCCCTCACAGAACTCATGGTCCAGGAAAGGAGACAGACCCATATATGGATAATATATTCAGGAGACAGGCATCACGGGTCATCGGTTCTCTCAACACACATTTAATAGGTTCTTACGCTGGTGTCAAGTATCAGACAGATGGTGCTGAACCCAGTACAGGGAGGAATGGGATATTGGAGATGATGTGTGTGTGTGTGTGTGTGTGTGTGTGTGTGTGTTTTCTTTCCTTTTCTATTGGAGGTATAGCACACAGACTAAGGGTAATGTGCACAGAATAAAATTATTTTACATGTACAGCTTGAAAATAGTGTACCTATGACAGACGCGCTCTTCGTCAGCTCGAGCTGCTGTCACAAAGTGCCACAGACCGGCTTACACAACAGACCTTTCTCTCTCATAGGTCTGGAGGCAGGGAGTCTGAGAGCAGGGTGGCAGTGTGGCTGGGATCAGGGTGGCGTTTCTCTTTCTGGTTTATAGGCGGCTGCCCCCTTGCTGTGTCCTCACATGGTGGAGTCAGCAAGCTCTGATTTCTCTTCCCTTTATTGTGAAGCACTAATCCCATCATAGGGGCCCCACCATCCTGACCTCCAAGGCCCCATCTCCCAATACCCTCACATGGGAGGTAGGGTTTCAACATATGGATTACGGGGGGCGGGGGGGGGAGAGGGAGCACAGCAACAGTGCGTAACAGACACCCATGTCGCCACCACCCGATCAAGACAAAAAATTCTCACCACTGCAGCAAGTGCTGGTGCCACCTCAGGCCATTGTCCACCCCACCCCCCCAGCCTCCAGTTAATCATTCTTTGACCTCTATCACCATAGATCGATTTTGCCTTTTCTTGACCTTCATATAAGTGAGATTGTCCGATATGCAATCTTTTGTGCCATTTTCACTCAGCATATTCTCTGGGAATACAACCCCCCCCCCCCACATTGTTGTGCGTATGAGAAGTGTGTTCCTTTTGACTGCCATCTAGTATTCCATTCTGCGGATCTAGCCTGATTTCTTTTTCCACCCTATTGCTGATGGACATTATCGTTATTGCTAGCTGGGGGCTATTATCTCTGAGGAGTTTTGAAGAATAAATAGGGGTTTTCCCTGTGGAACTTGATGGGGCAGCCATTAAATAAAACCCACAAATAACCTAGCACAACGAAGCAATGGAAATGGACTCCTTTTGCTTGCTTCTGTTGGACCCTTTTTGTGATGGGGAGTTGGGCTGCTGACATCCTGGGGCCTCCAGGTCGCTGTAGGAGTTGAGGACCCCCCCCCAGACTTCTGTTTGTCTGGCAACAGAGGCCCCAGGAGTAAAATGAGGCATGGGTGACATCCTTAAGGTCAAAAGGTTAGGCATGGTCTGGATTCTCCCAGGAGATTCTCTTCAAATGATTGTCATTCTCTGTGCTAACCGAATTCTTACGCTGCCTCCTTCCAAAAGGGATTTTAAGTGGCTTTGTTCTGTTAAGTGTCAGAAACAGAAAAAAAACAAAAACAAAACCATGGACACAGGTATAAAATTATAAAGCCCAAAGTCGGAAAATGTAGGGTGGAGTTGTGATGGGGGCGACTCAGGTGGGAGAGGAGCACAGCAAATAAGTGGTTACCTGTATACTGAGCTTCCTGTAAGGCAAGGCGATATGGGAACTGGGATTTCATAGCTCATGCCACTCCATCGAGAGCACTCAAGAGAAAACCAATGCATGATTTGCTAAGGCTAACCATGTTTTCTAGGCAGTTTTGTCTAAGTCATTGTTTCTAATAAACTTTGTAAGTAAAATAAATTCTGCACAAAGCAAAGCATGGGATGAAGGTGGTGTTACGTTAACAGTCGAGAGGACAGGCTGCACGACTGGCTGGTTGTGTGACCTTGGGCAAGTTACGGAACCCTCTGAGTCACAGTTTTCCTCTCTGTGAAATGGGGATGATGATACAAACTCCATGGGGTTATTGTGGGAATTACATGAGATTGCACAGGGTCTGGCAAGTCCTCGGTGCTAGCTCATTTTTAGTAGCACTTCATCTGAAATGTCTATAGATGCTTTTTTAACTTTTCAGCGCCCTTTTCTACCTGAATTGTGTCCCCAAGACATTTTTTGGGAAAACAGGACTGGAACCAATCTATTCTAAAGCTGGTCCCAGGAGGTTTACAGGACTTAACAGAGATCACACTGTTTGCGACGGTGGCCAAGCTCCTCCCCTTGGTGGTTGTGGGTTTACCTCATCCTAGAGCTGTGTTTATGAAGACAAGTCACTAAATTGACAGGAAGAGGGCAGCTCGATTTGACAAAAATGTCCCCAATGAATCCTGGACCTGTTCTCTATAATGATAGGTGGCATTTCTCTGTCATTGGTGGCTTGAGCGTGTGTGAGAATTGGGGCTCATTTGGCCTGAAACAGACACAGCTAAGAAGCTAGGATCGAAACCCAGACCCTACAATGTCATAGCCTGTGCTCGTAGCCACCGTGCATACTGGTTCAGTTCATCATGTGACCTGGTGATCAGTGTCTCAGCTGGCGCTTCCTCCAGGTGCTGTCCAGCTACCCAATCGACACCTTGGTAGGAGCACCCCTGGTTTACCGAGTGTTGCTACAACAGGACCTTTCCAGGTGATGGGGCCCTGGGGGTTGGTAAGAAATTCTGGATCCACTGGCCCATTCTCCTGTCTCCTCCACATATGCATCTATCTGACCCTCTGAGTATGGCTGCCCCGTGAACTCAACCTCATTGCCAAAGCACCTGGAGTCCAACTCTAGGCCTGGACAGGGTTTGGCTCAGCGGGGCTAAGGGGGAGCGCTTACCTCTTTTTTCTTACTCAGTTACAAGTTCCCACGTCTACGGAACTGCTTCACTGGAGGGGAGGCCCTTCTCCCAGACACTCTGGAGAACTGGAGAGCCCAGACAGGACTGGACATCCGGGAGTTCTATGGCCAGACGGAAACGGTACCTGATCTGAGGGGACCATGAGCTGCTCAGCCCGGTGGGCTGCAAGAAGCTCTCAGATAATCAAAATATGAGCCACCACGTATCATGCACTGAATTCGATAAGTGTTTATTGAGCACCTACTATGAGACAGGCACTGAAAGCTCAGCAGAGAATAAAACAGGCAAAGCCCCTGCTCTCGTGGAGACTGCACTCTAGTGGGAGTGGGGGAAAGAGACATAAATCACTCACTCCACGGCATGGCAGCCAGTAAGAAGTTCTGTGGAGAAAAGTGAAGATGAGTGAGATGAGGTGCGCTCGGATGAAGGGCTGATCTTTCAGAAATGGTGGTGAGGAAAGTCTAGAGAACTGAATTTGTCACACTGAGTGTCAGGTACTGTGCTCAGACGCTCAGGCAGAAGGCAGGGACGAGGAGGAGAACCCACGGAGACCCCCCTCGCCTGGCCAGATATCTCCTTGGAACTCTTGGGGCGCCTTGAACACAGTGTGGACTCACACTGCTCTCTATGCGGGCCGGTTATCTGACCGACCTGGGTAGGACGTTGCCCGGACTCCTTGGCCCCACTGCCTCTTACTTGCGACTCTCAGTACAGCCTGCTTCCTCCTCTCCACTCTTTACCCTACATCCTTCCACGGCTAACAGGCCCCCCTGGCAGAACTCCTGAGAGAGCTCACGGCAGCGCTGTGATATAAAAGAACTTTGCAAATGGGGGCGAGGGGGCAGGGCTGGCCCTCTTATGGGAGGTCATGTAGCCCCATGCTGTATTAAGGACCTTTGGTGTCCGTGGTCCCTTAGGAAATTAGAATGTGGCTGTTAGTGTCTTTTCCCGGGGCAGTGGTCAATCAGATGGTTTTCCAAACAATTTAGTGCGACCCCAAGTAGGATGGGGGCTCCAGGAAAGGGGAGAGAGTCAGGAAAAGAGGAGGGAGCCATCAAAGGTGCGCCATCTTCCAGACTGTGTCAGAACCCGCTCTGCTGAGTTACTTTCTTTTTCTGTGACCTTGACCCTGCTGCTTTCCACAGGGACTCACCTGCAGGGTTTCCAAGACCATGAAAGTGAAACCTGGCTACCTGGGCACTGCGATTCCCCAGTATGACGTGCAGGTGTGTTAAGGACACTGGGAGGGAGGGGAAATGGAGAAAACACGAATTCTCTAGTTACTTATTACATCCTTCATTGCAGAAAAATAATGGAAAGTAGAGATATTAAAATAATATGAAAATGGAGGGAGGAAGGAAAGAAGGAAGGAAAGAAAAGGAAAACTCTCATCATCCAGAGAAAACCACTTTGAATACCTAGCAAACTAGCTTCTGATTAGTTACATAAATGTACAATTTAAACCAAAATCGGGCAAATGTTGACGTGTCATTTTGTTACTTACTTTTACTGTTGAATAGTGTTGGATGACCATCTCCCCAAGTCAAATAATACTGACCTACACCTTGATTTGAACGGCTACAGAGCAGGGGATGGTTTGATTCCACCACTCGTTACGCCTTTTGTTGGTCAACAGACGATTTCTTAAGTTTCACTAGTAAAAACAACACTATAACGAATATGTTGTAGCTAAAGTTTTGCTCCTTTCCTTTTTTATTTGGGCTAAATTCCAAGAAACAGAATCTGCGTGCGTGTATCAACGGTTGTCTGTACCGGTCCATAGAGCTAGAGTGTGACAATTTATATTCTATTCAGTGTTATGTGTCATTGCTTGCTCCCTCACCCCCAACCCTGATAACCACTTAAGGAGCTCTTTTTTTGTTTTGTTTTAGTATCTATGTCATTCTGATAATAGTCCTGTGAAATGAGCTGTTATCATCTGTTTTACAGATGAAGGCATTGAGACATAGAGCTTATGCAGCTCAGAGACAGCGAATAAGGTAGCAGGGTCGTGATGTGAGTTTTGATCTGTCTGATGTCCAAGTCCATGGGTCTCCAAGACAATGGGCAGCTGTTACATTTCCTGAGCTCCTAAGGCCAGACGTATCCTCCAAGCCCATCTGGTCCAGTCTCAATGAGGGGCTTCACCTAAACCACCCCAGGCAGATGGATGAGAGATGTGGGTTTCACACTCTTGGCTTCCCTGGGTTTCTGGTTCTGGCTTTCAGTCACCTCGAGAGCAAGAGGGTCTCCCATGGGACAAACTCAGCTCTTCCAAGCTGTTATTCCGCCAGCTCCTGCGATGCACATCCTGCTACCTTTCTGCTTCTCCCTCCAGGTCATAGATGACAAAGGCGAGGTCCTGCCCCCCGGTGCAGTAGGAGAGCTGGGCATCAGGGTCAAGCCCCTCAGGCCCACAGGCATCTTCTCTGGCTACGTGGTAAGGAGCCTGTGCTCCCCTGCTTCTGTCCCTGGCTGGGAATAGGGGGCTTTGACAGGGATGAGAGTGGGCATTTGGCCAGGAGAAAGACGGGCCACTCTGCCCGGCCATTCTTTGCCTATCGCTAAGGTCCCACCGAAGAGCTGTCTGTCTCTGGAGACCCCTTTCCCCCTCCGAGACGTGTTTGGTGCCAGGGAGCTCACTGCCCCTGAACTACACACAGCGGCATGCTCCCGAGGGCAGCCCTATGCCCTCCCCCGGGTCTCATGCCCCTGCTCTATACCACTGAGCGCCCTCAGAGCCACACCAAACACTTTACATGGAGACGTCACCCCTAACTTCACGCCTTGGAATGTTAGAAACAGGTGACCCTCACGTCCAACCGCCTCACTTTAGAGGTGAGGATGGTGAAACCAGAGATTACAAGACTCACACAAGCTTGCCACTGTTGAAACACGGGCAGGGAAGACCTCAAGCTTTCTGACACCAAGATGATTAAAAAACAACTTCAATAATAATAGCTGCTGTCGTTTATTGTGTGCTTACTACGTGGTACACACAACCCCAAAGCACTTCACATGCAGTAAACTCCTTTAATCCTCCAATGACCTTATAGGTCCGTGGGGCCAGACGGCTGGAGCTCACAACCCTACCCCGCTATTTCCTGTGTGTGCCTGAGCAAGCGGCGGACCCCTCATGCCTCAGTTTCCTCACCTGGAAACTGTGTAGGATAGCATCGCATCGCCTTAGTGTGGCTATCTGAAGGCATTAACATTTATGAAACACTTAGAACAGTGTGTAAAAGGGAAGAGTTGCTGGAGACCCAGATCATCACTCCTGTTACACAGAAGAGGAAAACTGAGCCTGCGAGATGAGGGCGCTTCTCCAGGCATTCCCTGTGGGCTGCTGTCCCACTCCATGCCCACGTGCCAGCGAGGTACCGAAGGCATAGGCCTGTCCCCATTCGACAGCTGAGGAAACACACTGAGAGGAGCTGGCGGACTGACTCCACGTGCACAGAGCTCAGGCCGGCAGGGGCTGCACGGTGACTGGGAGAAAGAGTGGAGGTGGCGGTGCAGAGCTTGGGCTGCTGGTCTCAGCTCTGTCCCTGGAATGGCCCTTTGGCCTTGGACCTGCCTCTTGGGCTCTCTGATCCCCGATGCCCTGATTTTCCGAATGAAGGAGCTGGCCTATGAACTCCCTACGCTGCCTTGTAACCCCGTGACGGAAGCCCACACCCCTACACCTGAGCAAGACAGAAAGATGCCCTATCCTTTCCACTGCTCATGAGCAAGTGCCTCAGCTGAACAGAAGGGCCCGGCCGCTGTAGAAGTGGGCACATCAGTGGGCTCTGGGGGCTTGCTGGTCTATCTCTAGAATTTTCACGTCTAACAAGGGAGCCAAGAAAAAAGTCTAATGAGCCTTGAATGGCATCATGGAGTAGAGCAGGGGTTAGGCTGCCCATCGAAGGGTCAGTGAAATCGGTTGGGCTGAATATCCTACATCATGGGTGAATGAAGGCATTGATTTTATCCGTTAGAGCGGACCCAGATGAGGAGGGGAGAAACCCAGGGTGGAATAACTGAAATAAAGAGGGGAGATCTGGTTCCACCTGGGGACAGGGGTGGCAGGTTCAGGGTGGGCCCGCCTTGCGTCCTCGTTCGGCTTGTGAGACGCACCCCCCGCCCCACCCCGTGTGCATCTGTTCCCGGCAGCCTGGGCAGCGGGGTGAGGCTTTGACGCACAATGACTGTCTTTCTCTGGCCACCAGGACAATATTGAGAAGACAGCCGCCAACATTCGAGGGGATTTTTGGGTCACAGGAGACCAGGCAGTCAAGGACCAAGATGGATATTTCCAGTTCATGGGGCGGGCCGATGATATCATTAACTCCAGTGGGTAAGCTTGGTTTCTGGGCTGGGAAGGGTTACCCGGATCTTTCCTGAGACTTTGGGGCTAGCCTACAGGCTGTGCCCAGGCTTCTCTGAAAGGCCGGTTCTCCTCTAGGTACCGGATTGGACCCTTGGAGGTAGAGAATGCACTGATGGGGCACCCTGCTGTGGTGGAGACAGCTGTTATCAGCAGCCCGGACCCCATCCGAGGAGAGGTGATGGGGGAGCAGCAGCCCGGGGGCATGCAGATTGGGAAAACAAGGGCATATAGTATGATGGTTAAGAGCGTGGGCTCTGGGGCCTCGACAGCCTGGGTCAAAATCTTGGCCCTGCTGCTTACTAGCTGTGTGACCTTGGGCGAGTCACTTAGCCTCTCGGAGCCTCCGTTTCCCATCTGTAGGAGGAGGGGTTGTTGTGAGGGTTAAATGTGTTAGTATTTGTAAAGTGCTTGGAATAAGACCTGGCAAACCCCACACAAGGTCTGTTATTAGCATTTGAATCAGAATCGGATCCCTGGGCAGAACAGAGGGATTTGAGCCAAGAGGTGGAGCCTCTGAGCCATGGGGGTTTATGGTGAGAATTCGGGGAAGAAGAGAGACCCCCATATAATGCCAGGGTTATAGAAAAAGGCCCCGTGTGTGTGCGCACAGAAAGGTCACAGTGCCAATTTCTGCAGGGCGCAAATTGATGATGTCACATCCCTGGCAGGTATGGGATATGTCACCATGGAAATCATAGGCGCCACTAGGCAAATGGGGCCAAAGTGGAGCCTCCCCTGAGAAGCCCTGTGTGCCAGAGCACTGAGCTAAGCCAGCCTGTGCATGACTTCTTGTATTTCCCATGAATTAAGCGTGACAATTGGGTCTCCATTTTATAGATGTGCAGACTGTGGTCTGCGGAGGTGAAACAAATCCTTCAGGTTATGGCCCCCAGGTTCGGATTTCTTGTCTTGTATCTAGTTTCTCCCTGTCCCTCCCTGTCGTCCCTGGGTTATGAGTGGGCCTGTCTCAGTGTGCTGTCCTCCCTGCCCATCCGACAAGCCACTGGAGAGACAACTGGACTCTGGGCCATTATGGTCCTGTTTGTCCCTCTCCCTGGCCCTGGACGTCTGGAGGTACAGTCGAGAGGGTGTGGAGGTGGGGCTGAGATAATATGCTGACTGTGCGTTACCCCAGGAGGTGACGGACAACGACACACTCTGAGCCCTTCCCTCTTTGCAGGTGGTGAAGGCATTTGTGGTCCTGGCGCCCCAGTTCGTGTCCCAGGATCTGGAGCAGCTCACCAAGGAGCTGCAGCAGCACGTGAAGTCAGAGACGGCCCCGTACAAGTACCCGAGGAAGGTGAGGACTCTGGGCTCCCGGGCTCCCCAAAACAGAGCAAGGCGAGAGGATCTCCTCTCACGTTTTGTGTCTCCGCGCTGTGGACGAGGCTCTAATCCCAAAGCTCCGCCTGACTATGACCAAGAAAAGCCCCCAAAGACAGTGCAGCCCCCGTCTAGATGCCTGAAAATTGGCCTCGGCCTTCAGCACACTCTGAACTGAAGGTCAGATGTCCCCACAGGAACGAGGCTCCAGTCAATACCTGACCTATATACCCGCTCTCTGCCCTGGGGTCTCGCTGTGTTAGTCAAGATTCCCGTACCAGCTGCTAAGAAAATACCTTCTCCATGTCACTGTCCCTGCTGTTATTATTTTTATTAAGCCCCTAACCGTCTGGCTTCTAGGCCAGTGCTCTCTGGCAAGCTGAGCCACAGAGCCAGAAGCCTCGGCGAACTCTCTGCGTCATCTGTATCTTAGGATTCAGAGATATTAGAGACGGAGGAGGGGTCCTCAGCGCCAAACATCCCCTCCGACAGTGAGAAAGGTGCAATTGGAGAGGGTCTTGAGTTCCACCTAGGACACCCCCACAGGAATGGCTGACAGAGAATTCAGAGCCAGGCCTCCTAACGCTTAGGTGTCGACTGCCTCTGGTGCCGATGAATAACCGCAGCTCAGATACTGGAGTGTTGGTCCACGCCGGGAACTGAGCCTGCGGAACCTCACTGTATCCTCACGACAATTCAACGAAGTTGTGATTTTCCAGTTTACTCAGCGGGGAGACTGAGTCTCAGAAAAGCCAAGGGACTTGCCCACGGGGTGCCCCAGAGTTCTCCAGGCTGAGTCCTCACTCACCGGGAGCCCTTAGGCTCCAGCCCCCCTCACCCTACACCAGTCCCCCTGAAAAATCCAACCCTCTGAGATCACAGTGGGCCAACCCTGAACCGATCTGTCCCAACAGATAGAGTTCGTCTCCAACCTGCCCAAAACCGTCACAGGCAAAATCCAGCGGACGGAGCTTCGAAACAAGGAGTGGAAGAGGTCTGGGCCAGCCGGGGCCCAGTGAGGCCGCAGGGCGCTTTCCCTTGGGTCCTGCCCTTCCTCTCTGCCCGTTTCCCTTTGGGTCATAGGGGGATACGAGGTTCCTTGTGATAAGACGTCTGATTGTCTTGTCTTTCTCTGGTTACTAGCTCACAACCTTACCACGTTAGATGTTGAAAGAAGGGCGGGAGGGGATGAGAAAGAGGTTAGGAGAGGGGAACAGACAAAAAGGAAAAAAAATGAGAGAAAGATTAAAACAGCAAGAGAAAGCAATTGAGAAAGAAAAAGGGAGGGAGGGAAAGAGGGAAATGAAAAGACAGATTGATAAACATAGAGAAACTGATAAAGAAAAATGATGGAAGAAGGGAAGAACGGGAGAAAGGGTGGAGGGAGGGAGCCTTACGACTCCCACCGATGGGGGGAGAAACAGACAGCAACCAAATCGAGCAGAAAACTGGATCTTAGGAAGGTAATGGAAGGCTGTGACTCCCCATCCCAGCCCTGAGACAGGACCTCCATACAGACAGGCCTGTGTGTGCGGTTGGGACACTGGCATCATCCCCACATCACCCCAAACTTTGGGGCGATCACGACCAGAGATGGGGAACCGCCATTTATGGAGCCTCTGCCACGTGCCAGGCCCGGTCGTAGTTTTGTATAAATACTATTGTGCAGCACCTACAGGCCTCAGATCATAGCTGTGAGAACAGTTTAAGCCCCTCAGAAACATGTCCCTTCCTCCATGGCTCCTCTTCCTAGAATCAAGTAATAAAAATCATTTAAAAATCAGGATCCTGAGGATTGTCTTTGGGGAAAACAAAGAAGGGGACAGTGGCGTTGCTGAAGGACAAACCAGGGACTCAGTTCCTGGCACCTCTGGGACCCCAGAGCCAGGAATCCGGGGGGGTGGGGGGAGGTGTGGGGGGCCAATGAGGGCTTCAGCTACAACCCAGAGACGGAGGGTGAACCCCCCTCGCAGGATCAAGTGAGCTGGAGAAGAAAGCGAAGGATCTCTGCGGGTTACGGCTGTTCTTCCAGCTACTGAGTAATAACAACAATGACGGTAATAATAATACCAACCACTGAGAGGCGCTACACCAGGCAAGTACATGCATGAATCCCACCTAATGTTCAGTCACCCTTTGATTCAGGTACTATTGCTTTTCCCACTTTACAAAGGCGGAAGCTAAGACTTGGTGGAGAGAGTAAGTGATATTCCCCAAAGTCACCCAGTTGGTGAACAACAGCGGCACGTTCAAACACAGGCTCAGCCGCCTACAACTCCTGCGCTCGCCATTCAGATCGCTTGCCTTCCCTTCCAGCCACGCTTTAAAATGTCCACCAGAATGTGGCTATACTGGGATGGGAGCTCCCTGGAGTCCACTAAAATACCCCCGGGGTTTATGTTTGGTCTAGTAGAGACACGCACTCTGCTAATCTAATAGCAAAACTGTGCTCTTCACAGTCTGGGTTTGCCAGCGTTTAAGGGGAGGTCACTGACCTGACAGCTTCCAAACACTGAAAATCCAGCAGATTGCTCGTCCTGACACTTTCCCTGCTGTCTTTACCTATGGTGAGAATCCGTTTGACCGTAGCCCCTGACTCAGTGCCTGGCCCACACTCTACCTTCTCCAGGCTCAGGAATGACTGATGACAGGAACCCATGCCTTTAGGGCAACCTATGACCGGCTCAAAACCTGAGTTCTGTCTCCTCCCTTCTCCAAACGGCTTGTATAGCAATCATGATAGTCAGTCATGCATTTCACAAAGACTGGTTTACTGTGACAACGATGAAACCCCTGGCTCTGGTCTTTTTCAGGACTCTTCCTCAGGACAGATCACCTCACCTTACTAGACATCTAGCAAAACGCTCTGGGACAACCCAGTAACCCCCAGAACCGAGAAGCAATAACTGCCAAGTCCCTGCGACACAGTATGGGATGTGCATCACTCATGTTAACGGCACAAGGTATCCCAATAATTGCTGCTATTATTCACAGACAGAAGGAGGAATTGACCTTGGAGGTGGCCAGTCACCTCACTTACATCCAACATTATTTCAAGATCTGGTTCAAGTTGCGAAACAACAGAAGGGGCAGCCATGAAGTCTGGACTTCATCGGGAGAGTAACGTACTCGGCCAACTCTGCGTTTCTAAATCATTACCCTGGTAACTGAGCGAACATATTAAAAGATATTTTGAAAAAATGCTGAGGAAAAGAATTCGTTCCAGGAACTTGACTGAACGAGGCAGGTGAGGTTAAGGGAAAAAGGGCACGGAAGGTGGTATCTAGGTTTCTGGCGAGGTAAACCAGGGTAGGTGGTTCTAATACTTTCTGAGAGGTGCCGGTTTAGAGGTGGGGACACGGAAGTCGGCTGTGGTCATGTTCATTCATCTCTGTTTTCTATGGAATGTTGACGTTAGTATGGATTTAGAAATCAGCTGCCTGTTTAAGTTTGAACTCAGGGGAGAGGTCAAGATTTTAAATGTGGTTTAGGAAATTATTGAGAGAGAGAGAGGACAGGAATGAGTGAGAAGACAGAGGGCATATGGGGTGGCAGGACTGTCGACGGAGGATGAGTTCTTGGAGAACAGTAATATTTAAAGGGAAACTAGAGGAACAGGATCCCACGAATAATACTGAGACAGATGTCTCAGAAATGGCGAGGTGCAACAACAAAGATGGAACAGAGCAACTCCAGGGTTGATTAAGGTTCTTCGCAACGGCCAAGAGTCACAGCTGAAAAGGATCCATCGCATTTGGCAGCAAGATCATTAGAAAAATGTGTTTCCAAAAACAGACAAACAAAGTTTCAATCGAGACATGAAGGGTAGAAAACAGATAGCTATGGGCACCAGTGAGGGATGCCAAGAGATAAAAACAGCTGGTGTATACTACTCTTTTTAATAAGCATGAATTGAAAGGAGAAGGAACAAAAGAAAAGAAACAGAATCAAGATAGCAACTTTGGAAGGAGGGAGGAACTAGACCACGCGTGGCAAACATTGCTTTTCTCCGACCGTTACGGACGGCATTGTGTCCTCCCAAATTTCACATGCTGAAGCCCTAACTCCCAGGATCTCAGAACGTGACTGTGTTTGGAGACAGGGGCCTTCCAAG